AAAGAAAAAACTAAAACTAATCTCTTACTTTATTCAGGTTGAGAAAAAGAGTTTCGTGTTCACTCTGCCCTTTGTCGTTGATTCGCTTTTTGAGAGAATGAAGAGAAATTATAATCTCGATTGATCATTTCAATTATATACTTCCCCAATAGTTCATTATCTGAAATAAAGTTTGAATTCAGATAAAATATCAATGAGCTCAACTGTTAAAACGAAATCGACAGCAGTCAACTCAGCCTTAGCTAATAATCACATTCGCATTGCCTGCTTTCTGGACAGAGATTTCTTATTGTGTCAGATAGTAAACCCGCTTTGCAATCATTTCCCTCAGGTAATAGAATTCAAATCTTTGCTCTAAAGTCTCAAATCTGATACTTTTTGTTTTCGTTTTCGCTGGCTGCTCAGTCACATGAGTATTCTTGGCAACACAAATTCATATTATTTTGCTTCTTCCAGATCATTACATTTTAATGATTTTTTTCTTTGGACTTCTACTGATTTGGGGGCAATCGACAAGAAACACTCAGTTTTTTGTGGCATCAGCGATGGAATAGTTCACTTTTATTCTTAATTTCCGCAAGTAAATAAAGCTTCTTCGTTTACCATTTACGAGCTCAGACGAGACATTATTTGCCTTATTAAGAGGCTGATGTCTAATCACACGAGATGTAGTGATCACTCATTCAAAATTAAGGTAGTGAGTGGTCTTTCATGTATATGTGGAATTTTGCAATCTCCTGATCGTATTCTATTTGTCTGTCCGAGTGTTGCCACTTCTATTCGCCATTCCACATTTCGCGAATTGTCTATATATGGTGTCCATGATCGCAGTGTTTGTTACATTTTCCATTTCACTTACAGTTTTGCCAAATATATATATATGGACCGACTCGCTCCCACACTCTTTCACTCTAGCAATTTTCAAGTCTTCCATAGGCCACTCCTTCTACTCCATGCGAACAGCGTATCATGCAAAATTAATAAAAAATGGAAATGGGCAGAAATGGCCTCTGTACGGTGGCGACCGTGTAACAGGCAAAAATGAACAAGTCATTAACTAAACGTAGGCTAATTACAAAATATAAAGAAATAATAACAAATATATACCAAAACTAACCCTAACTTTATTAAGGCCCACCCAAAGAACTCCGTGTTCACATTGCATCTTCTTTAGACAACATAGTAGATTGTTAATTTGCTGTTTAACAAAAAAAGAAGAAGAAGAATGATTATAAATACGTTTTTGAATATTTTCTAATTATTAGAATGAAAGAAAAATGATAAATCAAAGTTATCATGGTGTTTGCAGGACATAGTAATACGGGTAGCTTGCCGGCCGTCCGGTCGTGTACTATTAGACACTTTTAATGTCCTTTCACGCTTTTAGGGAAGAAACTTCGATAGTATAAGTCACTGGGTTACCATTCGAAGTCTAAATATCGGCTTCAAAGGCAAGCTCAAGGCAAAGTCTGTAAAACTCAGTTATCATATCTTCTCTCAAAGTTCTTCTTCTCCCCAATTTTATATCTTCTCCCAAAGTGTATTGAAGTTCTATGTTCGTTCTGTGGTTACAATAATCACAGCGTTGCCAGCAAGACTTCTCCAAATAAGAACGAAGAGCGAGAGGTAAGTGGATTAACGATAATATATTTCTCAAAGAGTTCAATGAGAAATGCATGAAACATAAGAAAATATTTCTCCTTCTTTGAACAATAGAGAGTCGATCGAAGGTCGATCACAAAGCAAAAGAAAACAAAAATTCAAGGAGCAAAGAGTTCCAGATTCGACTGGCGGTGATGGATACTGGCAACAATTCGCCTCATAGTCACAACGTCAACCGCAACAGCAACCAGTCCCAGGGCAGGATCCAAAAAATAGGCCGAGGTGCTGCAAACTTGGTACAGTTAATTTTTTTACGTTAAATTGCTATTGTGACATAATTACCAGCATGAAGCATTGAAAATTATATCTTTTTGTCGTATGAACTTCAGTTTTCGCTATGCAGGGAGGGGGTTCAAAATTTACCCTAGCCGGGCCAAAAATTTCATACCAATTTAGATTGCCGCCATTTTTGCCGAAAAAATTTGAAAATTAAATTTTGTTTTCGTGGTCGAAATAGTAGACCGTAGTATAATTTTCTTACTCGTTGGCTTTTAAGTTAAGCGCAGTTGAAATAGGTTAAGTTGCGGTTTGTGTTACAGCGCAACGTCTTGCTAATTAATTCCAAACCTAGCAAGCCTCTGAGAAATGCAATTGCAAATGCATTCATAACAACATTTCTATATAAAGAAAATTAGAAATTACATGAAATTAGTTTCTATCAGAACGTGTTAGCGTTCAGATTTATATTCGCGTAATTAGTAATAATGTCTTTGAAGACTTCCTCTGATCTAAAAGCTCCACAATCTACTCGTATAGTAGTAATAGGGGCAGGACCGTCAGGTTTAGCAGCCGCTACGCGTTTAGTAGAAGCCGGATTTGAAAACGTTTTAATATTAGAAGCTGAACATCGGATAGGTGGCCGAGTGTATACCGTTCCTTTCGGCGATAGCGTGGTAGATTTGGGCGCCCAATGGTGTCATGGTGAAAAGGATAACG